GGTTAGTTATTAAAACGTTTTTTATTAAAAAAAAATTCAGTATTTTACATGTTTTTTTTACAATAGAGTAACTTGACTAAAAACCATTGCGCGCCTTGCTACCGATCGTGATGTCGCAGCCATTGAACGTGATGGCGCAGCTATTGAACGTGATGACGCGTGTGGTGTGGTTGCATAAAATGCCTACTAATTCGGTCCAAATTTTAATTAATTAAAAAAAAATGTTGTGACCAAACGAAAGGATATTTTTGAAAACTTTCTTCGGCAATATTGTTCTAAATTATGGCAGGAATCGATTGGTACATGTTTCAAGTCGCTAAGTGGTCTGGTTGCTGAGATATGGGCAAAAAACTGCATTTTTTCGAGGTTTTTTGGCTTTTCTGGGAAATTCATGAAAGAAACCAGGAATTTTTATGGCCTATGTTCATTCTCGTAACTTGCTTAATATAATTGTTTTGTAACTAGTCATCGATATTGCTTCGTTGAGGAGGAGATACGACTTAAAGCTGCGGACACACATCCATACATTCATCCATCCATCCATCCATCCAGAAATGACGGGTTAATAAACGCAATTCTCCAGAATGGAAATTGCGCTAAAAAACATACAGGTCTGTATTTACAAGCTTTTTATTTAACTCACTTCCTCTGTCGTCCGTCTGTCATCGAAAAGCAGGCACTTCTAACTGACAGATACGGTTCGTAGTTGGTACGTGGGTCAAGACATGAAGACAATACATCATGACATTCAATTTGACTTAATTGATCGCCTGATTAATTTTTTATGAATTGATTACAATTTTGTCCAAATTAGTAGGCTATCTCATCAAACTATTCCGCGCTATTATATCGGTTCAATAGGCCGTCATCACGTTCAATAGGTGCGCAATGGTTTTTAATCATGCAACTCTATTGTAAATAAATAAAACATGTAAAGTACTAAAAAAAATTCATAAAAAACGTTTTAATAAAAAGCTTTTATGTAATAATGCACTAAAAAGTAGAAAATAAATTATACACTACTATTTAAATAACTATAAAGAAAAACGTGGTTCTCTTCCTAAATATTAAAGAGGTATTCAATAGATACTAAAGTGACTCACGCTTTTCTTTATAGTAATTTAAGTAGTAGTGTATAATTTATTTTCTACTTTTTATTGCATTATTACATAAAAGCTTGTTATTAAACGTTTTTTTATAAAATGTTTTTCTTATGGAGTTATGAATAAAACTCGCCTTCTTCAATTTTCAATAATCATTTTAAAATAAAGCTGGAGTAGCCTCCCCTAAACATTTCGTAAATTCTTAAATAGCATTAAGGGGAAGCAGAGGCGTATCCAGGTTTTCCTTGTAGGGGGAGCGAAAAGAGCAAAAGAAGGCGCCGAATTTTTAACACGTTCTATATACGTATATATATATATATATATATATATATATATATATATATATATATATATATATATATATATATATATATATATATATATATATATAATTACTAGCTGTATGTCATTACTTCGCTATGATGTAAAATAAATTGAAAGTAGCACTCTGAAGAAACAAGAAAAAACTCACAATGTAGGCCGACAAAACAAAAATTGTATCAATCTAAAAAAAAAATATATATATATATACACACACACACCACAGCCAAAAACAATGAATGTAACACAATCTGTTTTGTAATTCTTGTAAAAAAAATTCTTACATAATAATTCCTGGGAAATTATTTAAGACAAGTTAAAGAGGGGAAATAATCACTCTCTTAATATAAATATGTATATATCTACACATTTAATTATAAATGTCAGAACAAATAAATAATTACTTTAGAATATAATGAAATTGTTTAACACTATTCGTGTTAACAAAATGTTTTTGTCTATAATCAGAATTTAATATATCGTCATCATAAATGCTAAAGTATTACAGCATAATGAAAGTTTTTTTTAAATCAGAGTTGGTATAAAACTACGCTTTTTCGATATAGTAAAAAAACATTCGGAATAACAGCCCACATTTAACTAAATAATTGTCATTTAGATTAGATCATATATTTTTAATTAACCACCTCTTCCATGTGTTCTTAAAGATCATTTTTTACTTTCTCGTATATACGAATTATAGAGAAAGTCTTGTAATTGTGCATTCACCACTGTCCGTTCACGTTAGGTCAATTATCCAACCCAGTGTATACCTAGGTGTGACATTAATGTCGCTCTACACAATTGTGGTGGTGAGGTGTGTGTGTGGGGGGGGGGGGGAATGACCAACTCAGAGTGAACATAGCGTCAGTTTATAGATGACTGTTCTAAACATACATATATATTACACAAATATATATTACAGAAATAGATTTAAATAAATAGCAGTGGTATTATGACTATATTTTTTTTACAGAAGGGTCCATGGGGGAGGGGGGTTGTAACTGTTTCATATAATTTGTAATCGTAATCACTATCGCCCAAACTGTAAGAATACTACTACTTCATGACGTTGTTGACCTTGTCAAAATGTCCCCACCACTACGCAGTTTGCTCATAAGTAAATTTAAATAGAGGTGCCACATCAGTTGTATTTGTTTCTGTATTTTAATTTTAAAAAATAATTAATCACACGATTCAAACTGTATATATAAAGTAATTATGTGTGAAGTTTTATGTATAACATTTTCTAATTCAATTATTCGTAAGCAAATACATTATACAGTTGCCCTAAACTTAGCACCCCTCTTGCCAAGTGGTACTACCGTAGAGGTTTTTTAAACATTGCAATGCATCGTAATGGTTATTTTTTAGAATGGCAAACTGGTGCTGTAAACGTAGACACTACTAGACTAGATCTAGTACAATAATGCTTAATTGCTGCATGAAAAGAAATCTTGCGATTTACATAGATGTGCCGACCAAAAATATTTTTTTTAACAAATATCATTGTTTAAAACTTTGAGTTTAAAAAGTTTCCAAAAAGGCGCCACTTTGATGAAAATGGCCAGAGGGGGAGCGGCCGCTCCCCCTGCTCCCCCCCCCCCCTGCGTACGCTACTGAGGGGAAGGCACTTTCACGGTTATAGAAATTTTTTTATCAATCCCATTCTTACATTCTTAGAACCGCGCAGAGAGAAAAAGTGCGCACAAAAAAGCGCCAATTTTACAGTGTGTGTATAAACAGTGCGGAAAATGAGTACTTTCTAAAGAAAACATTGATATAATTTTTTTAAGAATTCGGAAATGGCGTAAAGTACTACTACCTTAAGATCTTTAACTTTAATCCATTTCGTAAGAGACACGATGTATTGGGTTTTTTCAGGAAGGTAGACGAAATTTCATAAATAAGTATAATTTCCGATAACCGAAAGTCGCTCAAAAGTTGATGCAAACATGCGCATACAATATAATACTTGAATGTGACAGACAGACAGACGACCAGACAGACAGACAGACTCAAAATATGATCTTATTTTTAAGTGAAACACAAAACCTGACTTGAACCAAAGCCGTATACTATCCAACAACAACCATTTCACTTTTCTCCAGAGTTGAAATATCTCCGTAACTCTGGGCAATATCCTCCATACTAGATGTGACGGCTTAGACTATCTGGCAGCAAGGTGGAGCGGCAAATTTCAAAGAGAGGCTCGCCATGTTGGTTCTCATCTAGATCCATCTTACATTTAGAGTGACGTTAGACCCATCTTACATTTAGAGTGACGTTAGACCCATCTTACATTTAGAGTGACGTTAGATCCATTTTACATTTAGAGTGACGTTAGATCCATTTTACATTTAGAGTGACGTTAGATTCATTAGATGAAATAAAGCGAGTAGTTCTTATACCTGATATTTAAATGCCACACAAGCTGTAGGTGCACCTAGATGTTCATCAAATCCAATACATTAATATTTCCTAGCTATCTCATACTTTCCCTATTTAAATATTATATTTTCTTTACGATTCCTAAGCAAATATTGTCATTGTGCAAGAAAAGTGCTTCACTTTTAAAAAATTCATCATTAAAATGCATAAAAAAATTATTTTAAATATAAACTCGTTTAAATGCTGGATATACCAGCACTGTGCCAGATTTCAAAGTTAATTTATCACTAATGAGTAATCAGTGTTGTAACGATGTTCGACATAACCAACGAACCAAATTAAAAGCCCAAGAGTGCATAGTTAGACCTTTAAGACCTGATAGTCAATAGGGTAGTTGGAGTAGAGTCGATCTGTTTTTGTGTCCTTGTCATGCGAATTGATTGTGTGGTCAGTTCTATAATTTACATTAACATGCAGATACATGTAAATGTATACATAATGACCTAGCTTTTACATAATGAAACGATATAATCTAGCAACTTCTAAAATTGGTAGATTCCCATACAAAATAAATGTATAAATAACATACTAACTTTTACATAATTAAAAGATATAGTCTAGCAACTTCTAAAACTGTTACTGTCTTGTACATAAACTTTTCGCCCATCCCATCTTTGCTGCTTGTTTTTTTTTTTAAATATTTGACTGCGGCTATATATATATCAAAGCGAACCCTGCATGTCCCGGAATTGAACGTGAGATACGCATGTAGCACGCTGAGCACTGAGCACTGAGTACATGTTGTGTGGTAATTTTATCACCTCACAGTCGCGGGGTCGTCAGGTACTATACACGGTGAGTTAACTATGTTGGATAAATTGTCCTTGCGTCAGGGAGATAATTTTTTTCTCTCGTTGTACACTCGGTCTTGTTAATCTTATCTACGGTCAATGACGCAGCTGTGACGTAACTGTGACGCACACGCTTTTATATGCCTCATTTAATGCGCGTGTTAAAATGTTTTCTTAATTTGTTTTGAAATGGAACAGAAAATCCTGTTTTTGAGTTTCCACGCTCGACTTGTTTTTAGTGATTTTCGCTGCGTCACAAATTATGTTGTTGATTGGCGTCGTCAGCAAGAATAAAAGTTGTTGACGTGAGCTGTCTGCGTCAGAAAAATCGTTGTTAACATGTACCGTCTGCGTCACAAAAGTCATTGTTGAGGTGTGCTTCTGCGTCACAAAAGTCATTGTTGAGGTGTGCTTCTGCGTCACAAAAGTCATTGTTGAGGTGTGCTTCTGCGTCACAAAAGTCATTGTTGAGGTGTGCTTCTGCGTCACAAAAGTCATTGTTGAGGTGTGCTTCTGCGTCACAAAAGTCATTGTTGAGGTGTGCTTCTGCGTCACAAAAGTCATTGTTGAGGTGTGCTTCTGCGTCACAAAAGTCATTGTTGAGGTGTGCTTCTGCGTCACAAAAGTCATTGTTGAGGTGTGCTTCTGCGTCACAAAAGTCATTGTTGAGGTGTGCTTCTGCGTCACAAAAGTCATTGTTGAGGTGTGCTTCTGCGTCACAAAAGTCATTGTTGAGGTGTGCTTCTGCGTCACAAAAGTCATTGTTGAGGTGTGCTTCTGCGTCACAAAAGTCATTGTTGAGGTGTGCTTCTGCGTCACAAAAGTCATTGTTGAGGTGTGCTTCTGCGTCACAAAAGTCATTGTTGAGGTGTGCTTCTGCGTCACAAAAGTCTTAGCCTATGCTTAAATTGAAGATATAATTACATATTCAGCTCTTTCCAATGCTTAAATTGAAAATACAATTACATACTCAGCTATATCTTATGCCTCAGTAGACCATCGTTACATATTACACATTCTGCCCTGGCCTATCCGTACCATCGAGCTCCATGCAGTACGGAGATATGCCGTGCTGAGCATTTCATTTGGGAACGCCATTAATTTGTCTTTTAATCAGATATTCAAATCCTGCGTCCATGCACCCTGCTGAGTTGTGAAACAGGTTTCCGTCGATGCTAACCGCAGGTAAAATAAAATTATGTCCTGAAACATATTTTTACCTCCCCATCCTCCCACCCCCACCCTGCAAGAGTTAAGGTAGAGGGGGTATGAGCATCGTACATTTTTTATCACTTGATATCACGGAGGTAAAAATTGAACTTTATTTAGACCGCTCAGCGCCGTGTCTGAAAACTCAAGTGGCTATCACCGACTGGTTTACACAGAGGTTCGCTTGTTCGTCGATTGTCTGCACAATGTTCGGGGTGAATCAAGCAACTCGAAATGTTGCCAGTGATAGAATCGCCGAAAATAATAGCAATAGTTCTCATTTCTCCAGAAATGTAGTTTTAGGTAATATGCAGTCAGGTGTAGGAGTGATATTATACACACACACACAAAATTAAATAAACACAGTATAAAAAATGCATCAATTCTGATTAATAAGTAATTAATCAGGGGATCAATTATGTATGCTATACACTTACTATTCTAACTGTATATATTAAGGAATCGATAAACTAACGAATATCTCTTTTCAGAACTGTATTAAAATTTGACTTTTTATTCTTTTTTTTTTTTTGCGTGGCAACTCTAGAAATAAAACTGTGTCGATTTGTTTTCCAAGTATCGGTTGTTGTTAATGCTGCGTGCAACGTTTTTATATAAACATGAAATAAACGAAAATAATCTTTAAGAACGCCAAAAAATATCTTAAAATAGTTAGAGCTACAGTATTGAACTCTGAACCCGACCTCTCCGTAACCTCCAACATTTAAAAATTACGCACATGAAATGGTTTTGAATTTAAACAAATGAATAAACACTCGCGTCTCAATTGTGCATCCTTATCGGTTAAGAGTGAGTTAGCAAACACATGGCCTTTCGACTGTAAGACAAGTGACCCATGTTTTCCCCAGGGGGCGCTAAAGGTCTCGATGGTGAGTCAGGTAACACAGCATCAATGTAATCGGACGGGACTGAGCCTATCGCCGTCTGGTACCCTGACTCACCTGCACGGCTCCTCTGGTCAGGTGGCCTGGCTTGTATTTGAACCCCAGACCTCGCCGTGACTCACTGCTTATCCAACGGCTGTTATTGTTCAGGGGTAACAACAAGCTGCTCACGCACAATGTAATCTCATTACCTCCCCCCCTCACCAAATTACCACCACCCATAATCAAAGACGCATGTCTTGATTATTATAATATAGTCCGCAAGAAAAGAAGGCGTTTTTATTGGAATCGTGAGAAAATATAGTTGGATACCAAAATACTTTGGTTGTGTAGGTCCCTCGGTCATATAGAGCTCTTCTGGCTTTCAGTATTAGTTGTGAAAAGCGTTTTTTTTTACATAGTAAATAAACCTACTCAATGAAATATATAGGTAGTTGATAGCGCTTGATTCACAATTGGTTATCAATAATAAAGGTATACAATTGGAGCACGAAAAAATAATTTTATTTTGTTTTAAATGTAAGAATAAATTAATGCAACATTTAGTCTAATTTTTTAAAAAATATTTCGTTATTCGTGCATACATGAATATGAAGTTAATTTTTTTTTAAATTTAATTTACTCAAAATTTAAACTAGTTTGACTACTTACTATATTTCAATAACAATATTCCTTTGACCCCTTTCAAGAACTCTAAAAAGCGAGGAAACATTCGTCAAGCAACTCGTTGTTTTTTTCTAAGGTCCAGTAGTTGACGGAGCTTGCGAATATATGAGGTCGAAATGGGAAATTTTTTCTTTTCAGCCGTTCTATCTCCACTCCCATCTCCTCCAGGTGTATGGGCTGGGTAATGACTGGGCGATAAGGGGGGACGAAATGGGGGGGTTACTCTCACCTGATTCGTGGCGATTAGCGAGGGGAGATTAGCCCTAGACGTATCAGGTCTGTTTACGGTGCGCCTGCTTAAGGATATAGATGAATGTTGCTATTTATTTCTAGTAATCTGTGAAGCGTCTAGCAATTTATATAACTTTATTTAGCATGTCCAAAAATTACAGAAGATTAAATAGAGAAAAAAAGCCAGACGAATAAATCATTAATTAAAAAATTAAAAATCGTTTTAATTTCTGGTGGTCATGAGAAATAATATGAAATAAATCATATTTGATTAATTTATTGCCTGTTGTTTATTAATTTATTTATTTATTAATAACTTAGTATAAAGCTTTGTTTACATTTGTTTTTAACATCATGAATTTAGTTAAAGCAGGTATTACAACAACTTTGTTAACTGTATAGATATTTCAGTCAGAGGCGTAGCGACACTTCCCGGCGCCCGGGGAAAAACTTTTCGATTTACGCTACTGATTTCAGTTTATGGTAGCTGTGGCTGGGATGTTTACCGATTGTGATCAATTAAGGGTTGTTCTTTTTAACTACAGTACCTTAGTTATAATTAGTTGTTAACTCGTCTTCCTACATTCGGGGTGTGGGGTGGTCAATAGTCAGGGTAGGGAGCTCTGTGGTAGGGGTGTCTGTGGTAGGGGCCCTGAAGTAGGGGGCTTTTGGGTAGGGGGCCCTAGGGTAGGGGGCTGTGATGTAGGGGGCTCTGGGGTAGGGGGCTGTGATGTAGGGGGCTCTGGGGTAGGGGGCTGTGATGTAGGGAGCTCTTGGGTAGGGGGCCCTAGGGTAGGGGGCTGTGATGTAGGGGGCTCTGGGGTAGGGGGCTGTGATGTAGGGAGCTCTTGGGTAGGGGGCCCTAGGGTAGGGGGCTGTGATGTAGGGGGCTCTGGGGTAGGGGGCTGTGATGTAGGGGGCTCTGGGGTAGGGGGCTCTGGGGTAAGGGGTTCTTGGGTAGGGGGCTTTTGGGTAGGGAGCTCTTGGGTAGGGGGCCCTAGTGTAGGGGGCTCTGGGGTAAGGGGTTCTTGGGTAGGGGGCTCTTGGGTAGGGGGCTCTGGGGTAGGGGGCTCTGGTGTAGGGGGCCCTGGGGTAGGGGGCTATGAGGTAGGGGGCTCTGGAGTAGGGGGCCCTGGGGTAGGAGGCTTTTGGGTAGGGGGCTTTTGGGTAGGGGGCTCTGGGATAGGGGGCTCTGGTGTAGGGGGCTTTTGGGTAGGGGGCTCTGGGGTAGGGGGCTTTTGGGTAGGGGGCTTTTGGGTAGGGGGCTTTTGGGTAGGGGACTCTGGGGTAGGGGGCTCTGGGGTAGGGGGCCCTGGGGTAGGGGCTCTGTGGTAGGGGGCTATGAGGTAGGGGGCTCTGTGTTAGGGGGCTCTGGGGTAGGGGGCTATGAGGTAGGGGGCTCTGGTTTAGGGGGCCCTAGGGTAGGGGGCTATGAGGTAGGGGGCTCTGGGGTAGGGGGCTCTGGGGTAGGGGGCTATGAGGTAGGGGGCTCTGGTTTAGGGGGCCCTAGGGTTGGGGGCTATGAGGTAGGGGGCTCTGGGGTAGGGGGCTCTGAGGTAGGGAGCTTTTGGGTAGGGGCTCTAGGGTAGGGGGCCCTGGGGTAGGGGGCTCTGTGGTAGGGGGCTATGAGGTAGGGGGCTCTGTGTTAGAGGGCTCTGGGGTAGGGGCTATGAGGTAGGGGGCTCTGGTTTAGGGGGCCCTAGGGTAGGGGGCTAAGAGGTAGGGGGCTCTGGGGTTGGGGGCTATGAGGTAGGGGGCTCTGGTTTAGGGGGCCCTGGGGTAGGGGCTCTGTGGTTGGGGGCTCTGTGGTAGGGGGCTCTGGGGTTGGGGGCTCTGGGGTAGGGGGCTCTTGGGTAGGGGGCTATGAGGTAGGGGGCTCTGGGGTTGGGGGCTCTGTGGTAGGGGGCTCTGGGGTAGGGGGCTATGAGGTAGGGGGCCCTGGGGTAGGGGGCTCTGGGGTATGGGGCTCTGGGGTAGGGGGCTCTGGGGTAGGGGGCTCTGGGGTAGGGGGCTCTGTGGTAGGGGGCTCTGGGGTAGGGGGCTCTGGGGTAGGGGGCTCTGTGGTAGGGGGCTCTGGGGTTGGGGGCTCTGGGGTTGGGGGCTCTGGGGTAGGGGGCTCTGGGGTTGGGGGCTCTGGGGTAGGGGCTCTGAGGTAAGGGAGGAGTCTTAGAGAGAGGGGTGAGGTCTTAGAGAGAGGGGTGAGGAATGTGTGGTGTTTGAGGGGTGAATGCTGGAGGTCCAATCAGTGAGGGAGTTGGTGTTCGAGGGAGAAATTGGTATAAGATAAGGGTGGGTGCCCTTGTAGTGTGCCATGTAAGATGGCGTGCATGTTTTGAGCGAAATAAGTAATACCAGTGTTTTTTGTGACGTTACGCACCGTTTACAGTAGTGATTTATCTTTCATCGAGGTGCAAACTGGTTTTTAAAAGCTAGGCAGTCCATCACTGAGTAACGGCACCTATTTAATGTTTACAAAAAAAAAGCACTGAGTATATAATGAGTATATAAATACTAGATATTATTGTTTCATCGACATACATAGACTATAGTGCATACAGTAATCAATATAATAATTCATTACATCATTATTTAATAAGTTTAGACACGTCGCAATGTTAAAATTTAAAAAATGAAGAAAAAAAAATTTAAATACTGAATTGTATTAGCTACCTATGTAAATCGCCATGTAAGGGATACAACTCCTTCCCCAAAGGGCGTTAAAATACATAGACATTCAATAGGGGACAAAGTGTAATTGTAGTTCGATTTGTCTAGGTAAAGAAAAAAAAAGATCTATATGTATATTTAAATATTAATAGTTACAATTATTTATTACCTAACTTTTATAAATCTTTAACCTTAATGTTACAATTTTACTATGTTTGATATAGAAAACCTTTAGTTTTATTAGATAACTAACAATTAGACTAACGAAAATTCCTAAAAACCTTAGATGTTCTTTTGCCGCAAATACGGATTGAGCTTACGTTATTTCCGTTATAAACGTTATGTTTATTAATAAAGTATTGAAAGTGTGAGTACACTAGGTCAGGGGTCGGCAGCCTGCGGCTCGCTAGCCGCATGCGGCTCTTTTGCTGTCAAGATGCGGCTCTCCAGCTCCTTGCACAAATATTAATAGTTATCTTATTTCGTTTTTAAAACTCATATCAAATATCGTAATATACAAAAAAAAAACTTTAAACAATTAAAACACTTATCAGAGAACATTGAGAATATGTGCAGTAGAAAGTATACGGACAGCTGACAGCAGCTCGGGCACCAGGCCCAGCCCTACAGCCCCGTGGCAACAAGCCCATGCTTGCCACTGCCCAAGTGCCGACTTTTTCAAATGTTTTTAAATGGGGAATGTTATTTTATTCAGAATGCATTGCCCTATCGGTCAGTAATCATTAATTTGACCTGAGTGACCTAGTTTTTTTTTTAGCTATTAGCTTACTACTGATGAGCCGGGTACTGGACTATGGGGTACGAGTTTACCCTGTGTTCAGTGTGGTGGAAGATAAGCCTGGTGAGAACCAAAGGACAGAAGCGACCGATACACTGTTATCAAACCGATACTCAAGCCAGTTAGTCGCAGTTATCCGTGTTGAGGCCTGCCTGGCCAATGGCAGACACCTGCTGAGTCGGTGATATCCGTAAAGAAAGAAAAAAAATTAACAGCTTCTAAAGTGGATTGGGATAGTCCTATAGTTATATTATTTGATTACTAAGTTTATTATTCTGGCGAAACAAGTGTGTTTTTATATGAATAAATATTATTTCATTTTTAAAGCTATTTATTTTAAATAACAAATCACATTTATTTACCTAGTCCTGATCAAATAATAAAATATTGAAATAAAAATGTTAGTGGCTCTTTAAAAACTGGGACATTTTGAAAATTGGAATTTTGGCTCTTCCGTCTCAAAAGGTTGCCGACCCCTGCACTAGGTAGAAAATTACAAGAAGATTTCACAGTTATCGTTTCCATCTGCACAAAAAAAAAACGCATTTCTTGCGTAAAGAATTAGCTCTATTTCCAGAACTCTACTTCTTTCAAACATCATCTTGGTAATAAGCGCTTTAAATTCAGATCACTTATCAAGGGGAATTTTCAAAGGGAGACAATGGCTAGAAACTTCTAGTACAAAGATAATATAACGTCTGGACTTGGTTCATTTATCTGTGTTGTAGTTATGAGTCTTTTGGGGTCACAAACCTAATACTATGGTGGTGGGTGCGAAGGGGGGGGGGGGGGGGCGCAGACGGGGGATTTCCATGTCAGAGATAGAGGGGGGGGGGAATCTAAAAATTTTTGCATGGAACACTGGCTCTTTCATGTGACGAATCGTTCGTCTCGAATCCCGGCCAACAGACGAACCATTCAATGCTCCAGTCTTTGAGAAACCCGAGCTGATTGCGAGTTGTTCGCTCTAGCTTATCATCTGGTAACGCTAAGGCTAAAAAAATGCCGTGCAACATCTTCTGTGAGTTGGATTCGTAAAATAAAAATAAACTCACAAATATAAATAGATGTAACTGCATCAACTGCTGCACCCGCCACATACAAAGCTCAAATTTACATTTGTATTTTCAAAGTTTATTTATTTTTAGTATTTTTGTTTATATTTTTTGTACGATAAAAAAATTGGTATTCTGTAAGGGGCTTGAACTCATTTTTAAAAGTTAACATAATTTTTGTTATCAAAGAAAATTATCTAATAAGAAATGTATAGTTGCATTTGTCACTCTGGTTAATGCTACCCGGGGTGCTATTGTGTTTGTGTGTGCTGGTTTTACTTTTACTTATGTCTGTCAATGGATTAGTGGTCAAATATTGTAGCTCAGTTTTCTAAAGCTGCGATTTTGTGCAGCCTTTCCAGATGACAACAGATTTCAGATGGCAACAGATTTCCGATTACCAGATTTCCGATGGCAACAGATTTCAGATGGCAACAGATTTCCGATGACAACAGATTTCCGATGACAAACAGTTTCCGATGACAACAGATTTCCGATGACAACAGATTTCCGATGACAACAGAATTCAGATGACAACAGATTTCAGATGACAATAGATCTCCAATCGCAACAAATATCCTATGAAATAACACCATAACATCTTATTAAATATTAAATTTGTCTTTAAAAATTAATTTAAAGGTTACTGTATTCTATAACACAAAGGGATTAATTAGTAGCTATCACTCGCTAACATTGGTGAGTTGTATCCATGTCTAAGTAAAAAGCCAACCGCGAACCTTATAAAGGAGAGACCTATGACGTTTATAGATAGGATCGCAAGCTACAGGACGGATTTCAAGGTAAACATTTTTAGTCCAGAGGGGATGTAGACTACTTCACAAACTAATGATGAATGTACTAATTGTGTTTTAGTCCAGAGGGGATATAGACTACTTCACAAGCTAATGATGAATATACTAATTGTGTTTTTTTAAAAACACACACCCCACATATAGCAGCAGACTACACCTCCACACACACCCACATATAGCAGCAGACTACACCTCCACACACCCCACATATAGCAGCAGACTACACCTCCACACACCCCACATATAGCAGCAGACTACACCTCCACACACACCCACATATAGCAGCAGACTACACCTCCACACACCCCACATATACCATAAGGCTACACCTCCACACACCCCACATATAGCAGCAGACTACACCTCCACACACACCCACATATAGCAGCAGACTACACCTCCACACACCCCACATATAGCAGCAGACTACACCTCCACACACCCCACATAGCAGCAGACTACACCTCCACACACCCCACATATAGCAGCAGACTACACCTCCACACACCCCACATATAGCAGCATACTACACCTCCACACACCCCCACATATAGCAGCAGACTACACCTCCACACACCCCACATATAGCAGCAGACTACACCTCCACACACCCCACATATAGCAGCAGACTACACCTCCACACACCCCACATATACCATAAGGCTACACCTCCACACACCCCACATATAGCAGCAGACTACACCTCCACACACCCCACATATAGAAGCAGACTACACCTCCACACACCCCACATATAGCAGCAGACTACACCTCCACACACCCCACATATAGAAGCAGACTACACCTCCACACACCCCACATATAGAAGCAGACTACACCTCCACACACCCCACATATAGCAGCAGACTACACCTCCACACACCCCACATATACCATAAGGCTACACCTCCACACACCCCACATATAGCAGCAGACTACACCTCCACACACCCCACATATACCATAAGGCTACACCTCCACACACCCCACATATAGCAGCAGACTACACCTCCACACACCCCACATATAGCAGCAGACTACACCTCCACACACCCCACATATAGCAGCAGACTACACCTCCACACACCCCACATATACCATAAGGCTACACCTCCACACACCCCACATATAGCAGCAGACTACACCTCCACACACCCCACATATAGAAGCAGACTACACCTCCACACACCCCACATATAGCAGCAGACTACACCTCCACACACCCCACATATAGAAGCAGACTACACCTCCACACACCCCACATATAGCAGCAGACTACACCTCCACACACCCCACATATACCATAAGGCTACACCTCCACACACCCCACATATAGCAGCAGACTACACCTCCACACACCCCACATATACCATAAGGCTACACCTCCACACACCCCACATATAGCAGCAGACTACACCTCCACACACCCCACATATAGCAGCAGACTACACCTCCACACACCCCACATATAGCAGCAGACTACACCTCCACACACCCCACATATAGCAACACTACACTCACCACCACGCACACAACAGCATGATGTTAAGCACATCAGTTTTAAGCTGAGCAGTTTTAAGTTCCAAATTTTAGTTTTTCGTTCTAAAAATAGCCCTGACATGTGTGAGTAATTAATTTTTTCCAGATATGCACGAGATTAAATTAGGATTTATTCGGTGTAAAATTTAGTACGCTTTTTTTTCACTGTGGTTTACGGTAAGGAGAAATGTACTAGGACGTTCATAAACAATATTTGGGGGCTTGTTTTTAAATAAAATTTTACTTTATCATTGTTCAGAATAAACTTGATTTTAATTTTTTTTTAAAACTGTTTACTATTTACTAGTTTATTGTTTGGAATACTGGACCAGTAGTATAATGAGCTGTAACAAAGCCGTTCATGTTGTATACGTCAACTATTGCAGCCTGCCTGTACAGCGGTTTATCACAGAAATAGTTGCTATGTCTTTGGATTCCCGGACCATAAACCCCCTGGACATAATCTTCTGGACAAATTCCCCCCCCCCCCCCCGCGAGACTGAGTTCTTTTTCTGATGTTCGTTGTTTTTTAATTATGATTTTACCGGACATCACGTCTTACGCGGTGGTGATAGGTGCACTGATAACATATAGGTGTTTTATCTGGTAACTATAATGTCTGTGTTAGTGAAACGCCAAAGCTATTGAAAAGGCGAGAAATCAACAATTATAACGACGATAGGAAAACGTATGACAGCTAACGCCCAAAGTCTCGAGTTCGAGCCCAGTGTTGCGAAGTGAGTTTGTACACAAGGGTCGACGCTGAACGTGACGAACGAGGTATAGATGGAGTATAGATGGGACAAGGCGACTCTATTCATTTCCATAATTTTATTACATTAATCCATACAGCTACATCAACAGCAGACACAGAACGAAGACTTCCTAACACAACCTCATATGACGACGACAAGAACAAGACTGACTCTCAACTATCTTCATAACAACCAAAAACATTCTCTCTTACGTCACATCTTTATTTCCTTTTTTACGCATTCATAATCTTCTATTAACACCACTACACACATACTCTCAAACCATCGAAAACTTTATTAACTCCATTCAACTACACACACTCTCAAACCATCGACAACTTTATTAGCTCCATTCAACTACACACATACTCTCAAACTCATACACCTAAGTCCATTCACAACACCCAGGGCTGATGTGACTACTTAGCTAGGGACAGCAACCCATCTAGGAGAGAAATCTTCAAAATCAAACGAATGCTGCCGCCTTGTTCAGTGTTATTGGATTGTCAAAGGCTATGGGAGCTAATCCAGGAACTAAAGCAAGCTGAAGTCGGAGTAAGCGGCCATAGTCGCAAAACATGTAAACATGTTACTTAATTGTGTTGGAGGAAATCTTCAATATTAAAATTAAAATTAAGACCGAAAAAGAAGAAACGAAAACTGGGAAACCAACCACAAATTCAAAAGGTACAATTATTTATAAAGTAGATAAAGTCAAAATAGAAAACCAAACTGAAAGAAAATTTTAAACGTTAAAGGGAAAGTCAAATAGAAAGAAAGTGAGAAAGAAAACATACTTAGAGGGAGTGAGAGAAAGCCAAGGAGAAAGTCAAAGAGGAAACCAACAAAATGAGGAAGAAAAAGAGAAGAAAGATACAAATAAAAGTAAAAGTAAAAGTACCATTGGACCAGCTGAACACAAAGTGCTGTTGTAGCCAAATCTCGTCTGCCGTGTATGAAACCTTGTTCGCAGAGTTGCCGGCCTTGGCGTCTCACGCGCCCACTCAACAATCAGATCTACAACAACTTTGATCGCTCGCGGTGAGATAAGATGAAGAGGTACTTTTGTTGGTGCTCCGTTCTTGTTTGGGCTGAAGTTAATGGAACTCGGGAGTCGCTCGATGACGTCACGGGCTCGAAATACAGGGATAAAAGCGATCTTTAAAGTGGAGAGTTCCTCCATATCTTGAGGTGTCAGTTTTCACAAGTGATCAACGCTGTCTTGAGAAGTCATACGTATACCAGTAGAGGTTTAGTCAGTTGCTTTTCCGTTCCTGTTTTGAAAAGATCACTATCAGATAAATTATACCCCATCCCCTTCAAGTCACGCCTCTCTTCCTCTCACTCCCCTTTCACTTCTTTCCGAAATTTGCGCCCAGAACTGTAAAGTGTATTTAAGATTGATGTAGTACCTAGCAATCATGAGCGACAGGGTACCTATTTTCATAAAGTACAGCAAGAAAATATGACATACTGTTTTGTTGCTGGTAATTGGATGAACCTCGGGCTTATGTGCTATGCTGTGAAGGATGAATGGGGAGGGGGGGGGGGGGGGAGTCGCTCTACTTCAAACTGTCACTGACAGGAGAACGACAGTTCAGGTTAGACCTTTCAAGTCACATGTTGTCACACTTGGTCACAAAAGACCGGACTCGAATAATCACAATTCTAGCTGCTAATATTGGGATGCGTTTTATTATTCTTTTTCTTTAAAAACGTTATTCCACATTTTCTACCGACCCCTCCCCCGCCCGCGTAGCAGATCGTAACCAAATATTAACCACCCCCACCCCCCACCCCCACCCCCCCCCCCCCCACGCACACACACACACCCACCTAGACGTGTGATGTCAAATGTGGGGGACGATCCCGTCGTGTTATTGTCCATTTAAAAATTGTATTTGTGTTTATTTACTATTTTGCTCATGGACACAAATTTCGTTCTCAAGCTAATGACACTTGAACCCCCACCCCTTTTTTACGCATCCATCCAATATAGCGGTGTAAGGGAGGGGGTTGGTCTATATAAACTTGAAAACTTCGTTGACGTGTTGTAATGGTGAACAACACTGTAAGTAGGTTGAAACTGTTATAAATAGAACATACACACTGTGGTGTGCAACTTTGTATTTCGCCACTTGATTTTATTTGCGTTTATCGACGTATCACAACACACGAACGGGCTGGAAGTTTCGAGTTAGGTCAAGTGTTTAGGGAAACGATGGTTGAGTATTTTATTAAATGGAGAGGCACCATGGTTGAATCATTGATGGTAGTTGAATGAATAGTTAGGTACCATTGTTGAATGATCGATGGCAGTTGAATGAATGGTGAGGCACCATGATTGAATGATTGTTAGTAGTTGAATGAATGTTAAAACAACATCGAAGGGTAGCCGGACATACGATGAGCAAATGTGATATTGTATCGCTTAGAAAGTAGATAAGGACGATAAGAGATAACTAAATTTATCTCAAATACGTTTGAACTCAGGTAGAATATTGATAATAAATTTTTTTTTCAGGTAGAAAATAGCTACGCCATGTTAAGAGTGTGTAGGCGGAGTGCGGTAATATTAACATTTTTAAAAAATCATATTTTAGTCTGATTTTTTTATTCGAAATACGTAATTTTGGCTTACCTGTTCCGATTCACCTGCAGTTCCATTCTACCTGTAGCAGTTACCTGCATATTCTCAGATCCATTCTACCCGTTCTACTTTACCTGTTCCATTCTACTTGTTTTATCCCAGCTTTCACCCTCTACATACCTTATTTTCTTACCCACCTAGTTACTTTAGCCTATCTGACGTTTTCCCTGCATAAGATTAAATCTATAATGTAATGATATAAGGTATATAAATGTGGCCATCATATATTATTAAATTAACGATTTATTTCCAGCTTGTATATTACCCTGTTACAACTTTCTAATTCACAATATTTGGCAAAGGCTTGTCTCCCTTCATTGCCCACCGTTCTTATCTAAGTTAGTAATATCTAGTAGTAAATATGCTTTACGTAGTCTAGCCGGGCTCTATACACCTCCACCTCTACCAAACACAACAATTTGTTTCGCCTCTGTACGTGCTAATTAATATAAATAAATGAAATTTAGCTTGATGTTCCCTAGCCGGACAGTGTCCCGTCCTACATCCCTACCACATCCCACCCCCTAGTTCGCCGCTGACCCCTACCTTCTACCAATAAGTAGCTCACCATTTGCTTCCATAACCTCCCCCCTCATCCGACCCCCTAGTTCCACCCCTGGCCTCTGCCTTCTAATTTAAGACAGCTCGCCATTAGCGTGATGTCCCCCCCCCTCACCCGACCCCCTAGTTCCGCCGCTGGCCCCTGCCTTCTGACAATAAGTAGCCCACCATTAGCGTGATGTCCCCCCACCCCCCCCCCCCTCACCCGACCCCCTAGTTCCGCCGCTGGCCCCTGCCTTATGATACTAAGTAGCTCAACATTAGCGTGATGTTCCCTACCCCCCCCACCCATCTACCCACCCCCCCCCCCCTAGTTACGCCACCGGCCCCTGCCTTCTGACAATAAGTAGCTCACCATTAGCGTGATGTTCCCTACCCTCTCCCTCTCACCCCCCTAGTTTCGCCACTGACCCGTGCCTTCTAATCTAAGACAGCTCACTATTAGCGTGATGTCCCCCACCCCCTCACCCGACCCCCTAGTTCCGCCACTGGTCCCTGCCTTCTAATCTAAGACAGCTCACCGTTTGCCCGGTGTATCATGGTGGTCGATACCGGACAAGCTTAATGGCTGCGGCTTTACAGCAACTCTAAGCACCCTGCGATACACGTTGCATATTCATGGCAGATTAAGTCCAGTTTTACCCGCCAACCCCCTAATCCTTCAACCCTTGTTTCTACTGCACATATTGGATCTGTCTTGCTCAGTTGTGAGTTGTTTTGATTTTTATCCTACCTCATCTGGTGATTAATTTAGTTTATTATTAGAATATTCCAGTCAGCTAATGGATTAATAAGACTTTTTTTTTTCTTCTTTAGACATGAGAAAAAATTGGGAGGGAGGGGTTGTCTTAAGACATGTTTAGAAAACACGTTACTAGTGCACCTGCTATCGCCTGTGTCAGCGTTCGCATGGACGAGTCGTTTGGCCAAGCTTTCATCGGCTGGAGCTTGTGGTTCCAGGTACGCCCGTGTTTTGATGGACCTGCGGAGCGGGCCCAGTAGGTGGGTGGGTCGTGATTTATGCTTCGGTTAGCTTTATCATTCGTCATCGTTGCTACCGAGAATGTAATCAACACACCATTGGCAACACGAGGAAATATATTAGCAGCCCTTGTGTAGTTTTACGTCAATGTCTTGAGTGAAATTAGCATCCGTGTCGTCTGCTAACACAACGGGACAGTTGTCGTAAAAATAGAATGAGATAATTTTAAGCGGAGAGGGAACGCAACTTCGTTTAACCTAAACAGTTCTAAAAAAATGTTTTAATATTGGGAAGCGTATGAAGCTAATTTAGTTAGGATAACGTATGTGCATGGCCCAGAAAACTCCCATATTATTGCGAGTTTTATCGTTGGGGGTCATCCATAAATGACGTCACGCTTTTTTTGACGATTTTTACCTCCCCCTCTCCCCTCCGTCACACGTCGTCACAAAAAGCCAGACCCCCCCCCCCCTAAAATGACGTCACACCTCAACCTAAAACCCCCCTCAAAATTGCAGTTGAATTTTTTAAAAACATCGATATTTTTCCAAAATCTTGTCTAAACTATTACAATTTATTAAAACAGTTATCTAAAACGCGAAATAACGTCTAAAATTCGTTTTCTAACATTGCTTTTTTATAATGCAAAAATGTGACGTCGCAACATCTGACCCCCCCCCCCCCTCCCCCTCATCACACATCGTCACAAAATTACGGACCCCCCCTCCCCCCTACGAGTGTGACGTCATTTATGGATGACCCCTTAGCCGAATTTCACTTTTGTTTACAGAGCAGCGGTTCCCAATTTTTTTTTGTCCACCCGAAATTTGAAAAGCTTATTAGCGGGTTCACTCTTTTGCTTTCATAACTAAACAACTATCCACTAATTAATTTGTTTTTGTGGTGGTATATAATGGACCAGGGGGTGCCCCCTTCCATGTGGGTCCAGCTTCTAATTGTTTAAAGATAGAAATATATAATTTTAAAAAGTGAAAATTAAACATCTAAATTAATAGTTTTCTTTTGACCTTTACGCTGTCGACGTATATGGCTTCAACCATCCAATGCCTGTATTTAGCCAGATTTTTTAGTCGCTTCAGTGTTGATTTGCTCTCTACTTTTCGACTCCAGGATGTCTTTGGCATAGCTTTTGTTTTACTTGGGCTAATCATGTCCAAAACAACTGCCATTCCATTTTTTTCTCATTTTACAAGTACGGGAGTTGAGTCTGGGTACTAAATTAGTCTCTAGAGGCATCATCAGTGTTTCTTCCAGGGCACTTGTAATCAGTGTTTCTTCCAGACTTTTTTCTCCGGGGGGGGGGGGGGGGGCACTTGAAATTTTCGGGGGGGGGGGGGGTGGGGGGCGGTAGATTTTCTTCGGGTAGGGGGCGGACACTGTTAAAAGTATATATTTCTATATAAATTATATAAATTTCATTTCGTTCGGGGGGGGGGGGGGGGTAAAAAATTTTCGGGGGGGGGGGGGGCGCTTCAGCCCCCCCCCCTCCCCGAAGAGATGCCTGGAAGAAAGTCTGCTTGTAATTTTTGGTGTGTTG